AAATGTTTAATCTAGAAGATATCTGAATATATTGATTTTCATTCAAGTCTAGTCATGTAAAATGAAGTGCATTTAGCATTTTCCTATATAGTCTGTTGAGTAATTAGTATAACATTTTACACGTTCACAGAAAGAAACGACTGAGACAAAATTCTCTTTCTGAACGGTTGATTAGTCTATAATTTTGGGCAGCTCCTTATTTCGCACTACAATTCTAACTGAGCTCCTTTTCGGCTTTTGCTGAATTTGTCAGGTCTCCGGCACACAACGAAATAAGCTGCTATATTCCTACATCCCTTGCAAATCTTGCTTACCTTCATTTTGTCGACTTCTCGTCTACTTTCACAAGTTACCATAGTTTGATTTTGGTGATTTGCAAATACAATTGCCATTTCTTGTTCATTCTTATTTGCATACAAATAATTTCTTTGAAAGGTCAATTAGAAGCATATATTGTTCAATTTAGGGCATCAAGTTTTCATACTTAAAAATAGAAGATACCAACTTTTCAGAGTGGGTGAACTTGTGCTTTAGATGCCCCATGAACAACATATGTTTGTAATTGATCTCTTTATGGGATATCATATACACAGATATTGCCAAGAAATTATAAAAAAATTGTTGCAGATATGATGAACCTATATTTGCAGATCACCAAAATAAAACTGTGAATTCTATTACTTGTGATTAGACGAGGAAATGGAGCTTCAAACTGCTTAACAACATGAAGCGTTTAAATGTGGTCCATTATTTTGCCACAGAGAGGCTGTTGTTTCTTTTGCTGGAGAAAAAAAGAAGTTATTCTCACACAGCAGGTCGTGCAGATATGGAAGTGTTTTTAATATGCAAAACAAACACGATGCTTTGTACCTTTTTAACACAAATGTAGCAATGAATTGAACGGTGTGGGGGAAAAAAGAGATTCATGTTGCTAACCATTTATTAAAAATAAAGTATTACAAAAGTTAACAAGTATCTTATCTTAAATTCTAAAAATCATTGTTTCTAATGCATGCTCTCGACAGGAAAAAATTATCTTCTAACAAATTGTGATTAACTGGTGCAAATATGTAGAGTCAAGGCCGCCGCCAAATCAAAACTTCATTCAAATACATGTGATGGATTATTCATTAGGTGTTTCCGAAGCAGAAGCTCCATCAAAGGAGTACCTAAATAAAACATACCATCAATTACAACATTTAATCGTCATCCTGATATTTCATGGTTGGTTTGCCATCATAAAGTGGTTGGCTCAATGAGTGTACTGATCTTGGCAAAGGCTGGGGGAGAATACTGGTGGTTGAATCCGAAATCAGAATGTTGCATTTGGAAGTATTGACATGGGCTAATCGACAAACCTAAGATAGTCAAATCAACCACGCGAGTTTCAGCAACAAATCTTGGAAAGAATGGACTAGCTCAGGACTTCAAGACTTTTTTTTATTGTTCTTTTGGCTCTTGATCCTCATTGACTGAGAAGGCAGCAGATCATGCACTCTACGTTTTAACTGCAAGGCACCGGTTAACACATACAGTTGGTCAGAATTGAAACGGGAAATTGTAGGGGACAATTGTAATCACAGGTTATGTTTAATAAGATGAAAACATCAATGCGCATCAAGTTCTTGATGAAAAAAAATTCCAAACGAAGTTAAATTTTCCCTTGCCGAAACTAAGCTCAAGAAACTTGTATATGCTAAATTCTTTCTACTTTCTACATCCTAGTTAGTAGATACTAGTTTATATGGTCATTTTCAGGTGCTCTTGGATTCAAAACTAGGGCTCTGGGATCGCCAATGAAATCAATAATGACACTTTCGTCTGAATTCTTAAAGGTAGAAAGATGAACAAAAAAATGCTGTCAACGAATTTCTATTTATCTCAAGGCAGGTATTTCATATCATGCTTTTAATTACTACTAATAAATGAAGAACAAGATAATTTATAGCTAATTAGTTGAAAATATACAAAACCAGAACTAAAGAGGCCAGAAATCCTTGGGGTTTTACTTACAGATAAAATACCAGACTTGACTCAAATTCACAGTTAGTATCTTCTAAGAGATGCCTTGCAAGAATCCACTTGCATATGTTAAGCAATCCCGTATTGGTAATTTATTGGATACTACAATTAGAGCCCCAGTGGTTTGGGTTGGATGCTTGGATGCAGTATAAGAGCAAATTGTTCTTGAATGCATGTGCAACTGCATACTTGGTTCTTCATGGTACACTAATTCAAACTCCCTAAAAGTGTGTTCAAGAAGTTGAAGCCAAGAGACGAACCTCATCAATACTAACTTCACTCTTAACTGATACACGGAAAGCTCCATCAGGTCCCACCTCACGATACTTTGCCAGCTCCAGATGATCAACATTACCAGCTTCCGTGATGAAGACAACAGGAGACTCTTGAAGCAGATCACATTTAGAGACAACATCAAGCCAAAGATGGTCGAGGAATCTCTCCCGTATTTCCTTGTAAATGACAAACTGCATAAGCCACAATCACACTCAACAGTAGCTTAAGAAAAAAATGGTAGAAAATATTGAATTACATAACATATTAGAAGAGTGAGAATCATTAGAATGGAAGTTATGAAATACCCTTGGACAAGCTTCTATGGTTGAAAAAAAAAAGACTGGTGTTTTCCATTCAGAAAGGAACATAAAGCATATAATACCTGATCAGAAGGTGAAGTCCCACATTCTCCAGATAGATCGTGGACATAAAGTACAGCAGTAGGCAAATGAGAGAGGACAGCAAGTGTCAACTTTTCTGAGTTATTCCTATCCTCTGTACTTACACACCATAAAATGGTCATGCAACCAAACAAGAAACAAGCGCAGATGTCTAAACAGTAATGAACTTAACATCCTTTGTTTAGAAAGAATTCAAGAATTACCTTTGTATATAATAATTTATCTTTCACATTAGCTTTTTATGACTAGGCCACTCAAAAAATTTTAGAAATTTCCAAAATTTATTGTCCTATAATCTGAAAACTAAAAATTATAAAACTAGAAATATTAAAGGCAGTGCAAGAAATTCAAATACATAGAGCATGTTTGGCAAAAAAAAATTGCTATCTTATAAGTTGGGAACCCACAGATTGTGGGGACCAAAATTCACACAACCGTGGATACGCAACTTATAAGCCAGACATGTTGAAGTATTTTGGTCCACACAATTTGTGGATCCCTGGCTTACATAGAAACTTTTTTTGCCAAACATGCTCATAAAGCGACTATTTGAGGAGGTAAAGATTCTATTCCAACAACTTCATATATTGCATCATTATCAAGAAAGCGTTGCTAACAGAGGACTGCCCCAATTTTGTTTTCTCCCTTCCCTTCAAATCTACCAACTTCAGAACGCAAACAATTTCTACAGTTTTTGTAATACCCCGAATTTCACAT